GAGAGAGAGAGAGAGAGAGAGAGAGAGACCAATCGATAAAACAGAAATATATAAATTTAATTATTCATAAAAATGACTTCAAATGTATACATACCTACAGATGACATTCGGGCGAAGCCTATGGTTTAAATTGAAAAGCATGAGAAATATAATCAATCAAAAAAACAGTAAAATAATTTGCTTTTTTGAAAAGGTTATATAAATAAATTCATAAATGCTCAAACAAAAAAAGTAATAAATAAAATATACTAAATAAACTACAACGACTGAATTAATAAAAATAAGACTATTATGAAAAGGGATTATACTAATGGTACGGGTAAGACATTAATGGCGATAATAATGGTTGGCACCTGCAGGGAACCTCATCGTGGGGTGGGTTGGTTCTCATGGGGTAACAACAGGGCTCTTTGCAGTCCTCTTCCCAACCGCAGTCACACTCCTCGCCCGTCTCGACCACTTCGTTGCCACAGATGGAGTCTTGCGGTTCTTATCGCACATGAGATGAAAGCAAAAAAAGGCAAAAAGATTTGGACATTAATTATTGGATCAACACCAAGAAAAAGAGTAAATGATAAACGACTTGATAATCATTTTTTGCGCTCTCTATTCCCATTGTTTAAGTAAAAACTTAAAGTATTAATCAATACCCAACGAGTTTATCATTTAATGGTATCTGTCTTTAATAGAGTGAGAAATAAATAGTGTTACAGATTGGGTGAGAAAGTGTGTCATACTATCTAAGTGTTCATCCATTACTGGTATTGCGATTAAAATTATATAATAATGATATGCACATTATATTATAATCCCATTTAATGACACTTTTTCTGTTATAATTACAGCAAAATTGATATCAAGAACAGAGTGTAACGACTGGAGTATAGAGTAAATAGTAGTGGAGATGAAGAATATTCTGAATAAATATTTAACATAAAGAATATAGTGTTAAATAACGGATACCTTGAAAGCATCCCTTCACGCTCTTGGCTTTGGTATTGAGTACGGCGTTAATACTCTTAAGACTACAGGGGCTGAACTTGTTGTTGTTCCTCTTGTCCCCAGACGTAGCCCTCGCGAACATTATGTAATTCCCGTTCTCTCCTCCGGGCGTACAGTTTGTGTCCTCTTCCGGGTCGTGCTATCAAATGCAACGGCAATCACATGTCAGACGCAAGAATCCATTTAATAATTGCTTTACTAATGTGCTATTTTCATGCATACTATCTCCCGGTGCTCTCTGAGAGATTCTATGTATGTAAGTGTGTGCATTTGCATTAATGTAATGAATTCACAGATTACGATAACAGTAAGATTGTTGTCATAAAACAATTCCTGAAGAGATTCGCGATATACGCCAAGAATTTTGCCATTTTATTGCAACCGATTCCGAGCGCAAGAATCTTCTTAATTATAGCGATATTACGAATTCATTTACATTTAGCACATTAGGCAATGAGATAATTGTTCAGCACATTAATGTCCACTAATTGCAAGGGACATTTGCCAGAGCATATACATGCACTCAAAGTGTATGTGTGCTCTCAATGATAG